TGTCATATTTAAATTTTTACCAGTACAAAAATGTTTTTCAGTGACTTCAGTCAGTTTGTTTTCATTAGTTTTTTCTCTAGTTATTATTTAGTCAACTGAGCATGTGTATAAACTCTGTTTGGCTCAAACAATGGCTGAGGGTATAGGAGTCGTGTGGCACCATTATCACCTAAAAGGAGCTTACTGCTTTAATGTGGAAATAATAAGAATAAACGTTTTAAAGTTCATGTTAAAACTTGAGGGGGTTGAAAGAGAAAGCAATGCAATGTGAGCCTTGTGTAAACGTTGCTTTGAGTTCCTTTAGATGCTTGATGAGCCTTGAACGTCAGCAAATGTTTATCAGCCTTTATCGAAGCAGGCCGCAAAGATGTTTCTGAATGAAAGCACTGAACGTTCTGTTCTGTTCTCGCTGAGATGTTGATTGTCTACTTCTGTATTAAACAAAAGGGCGTTTCTAACTCTATAGCATCGACTGCTGGGTCCTAATGCCGGAAACACACAAGAGTGGAGCTCATGAAAAATACATTACACAGAAAAAAAGAAAGAAATATTATTTTGCATGAGGAAAATGGGAAAATGCATGGCCACTAAGATGTTTAACAATGAAACATACATTTTTCATGAAAATTAATTTTAAATATTTTAATTCATTTGAACATTTAATGTAATTTTTCATAAAAAATGAGCCATCTATATATTTTAATTTAGATTTTTGTAATTCTTATCATTCCCAATCTAGTGATTCTTGTTAGATTTTCATTACTGTTATTGTAATACAATGGTTTTTTAATCATAAAATAAATGCAGTACAACAAATACAGTGATAATTTAGTATTTAATATTAACACTATACATATATATATATATATATATATATATACACACACACACACACACACACATACATACACATCATTTCATATAATTTAGTATTTAATATAAGTACAGTTTAAATTATATATCATTATTGTATTACAATAAAGAAAAATACATATTTTTGTATTAGAGTATGAGAATTGGGGTTTAAAAGAAAATCTTTATGGTCCTTTGAATATACTGCGTTATTATGCAAAATATTCTTTTTTTTATTTTTGGTGTGAAATATGAGCTGAACATATTTTTTACAGTTTCTTATGCATATATTCAGATTTGCATATTGCACAAACATTGCTCTTTCATGTTTTCAGACGTACATAAGCAGTTCTGTTGTTGTTTTCATGCATGGCAACAGTTGGGTGACTTGCTTTATGGCCATAAAATATATGATATATATGATAGTGTGAAATGTAAATGAACTGGGACGGTGTGTTTTGTTCCTTGACGGGGAACACGTGTCTTTGTTTTTGTCTGTGGTTCCTCCTACATTCGGAGAGAACTGTTTGTGCTCCTCTGCTGAAGTACATCTGTGAAGTTTGGCTTCCCTCCAACAAACCTCCAGTTGCATTATATTTGTGTATTATGTGCATGAACTTAAATAAAAGTCCAACTAGTGAATCTTCACTCAATCTCCAGGAGAGAGTTTCACGTAATAGATTTCTTGAGATTTCAAAACTTTATTTGCTTTGGTTGCTTAATTCTTTGTCCTGAAGCAACGGTTTATTATTAAACGCAGTTAAAGTGGTCAAAGGCTTTCATTCAAATGGACAAACAGCATTAGGTTTTAACCCTGGAAACCTTCCAGCCATTATTGCAGCATTTCGTAGAAGTTGTAAAGATCATTATAGAACTGTAAATGAGTTTTACTCAACATGTTTTTGATCCAAAGCAACCTGGTGTTGTAATTTTAGTCACCCTCCAGTTCACCCTCTTTTAGGATTAAACTTGCAACTTAGTTATAGATAAATACTGAGAAGAATTTTTGCCAAAGCTTTTTCCCAAAGTAACCACATTTATGAGTACATCTCTATAATCCTGCATATGAGCAATAACAAAACTAACAAAAATTAATTGTGACACTATTTGTGTGTGTGCTACATTGAAATATATAAACCTATGGAAGCCTGTTTCCGTCAGAGGATAAAAAAAAAATAAAAAATGCAACTTCATATCTTACAATTCTGACCTTTTTTCTCACAACAGCGAAACGTAAAGTCAGAATTGTGAGACGTAAAGTCAGAATTGTGCGATATAAAGTCAGAATTGTGAGACGTAAAGTCAGAATTGTGCGATATAAAGTCAGAATTGTGCGATATAAAGTCAGAATTGTGAGACGTAAAGTCAGAATTGTGCGATATAAAGTCAGAATTGTGAGACGTAAACTCAGAATTGTCAGATATAAAGTCAGAATTGTGAGACGTAAAGTCAGAATTGTGCGACATAAAGTCAGAATTGTGCGATATGAAGTCAGAATTGTGTGATATAAAGTCAGAATTGTGCGATATAAAGTCAGAATTGTGAGACGTAAAGTCAGAATTGTGAGACGTAAAGTCAGAATTGTCAAGACGTAAAGTCAGAATTGTGCGATATAAAGTCAGAACCGTGAGACGTAAAGTCAGTATTGTGCGATATAAAGTCAGAACTGAGACGTAAAGTCAGAACTGTGCGATATAAAGTAAGAACAGTGAGACGTAAAGTCAGAATTGTGCGATATAAAGTCAGAATTGTGCGACATAAAGTCAGAATTGTGAGACGTAAAGTCAGAATTGTGCGATATAAAGTCAGAATTGTGCAATATAAAGTCAGAATTGTGCGACATAAAGTCAGAATTGTGCGATATGAAGTCAGAATTGTGTGATATAAAGTCAGATTTGTGCGATATAAAGTCAGAATTGTGAGACGTAAAGTCAGAATTGTGCGATATAAAGTCAGAATTGTGCGATATAAAGTCAGAATTGTGAGACGTAAAGTCAGAATTGTGCGATATAAAGTCAGAATTGTGCGATATAAAGTCAGAATTGTGCGATATAAAGTCAGAATTGTGAGACGTAAAGTCAGAATTGTGAGACGTGAAGTCAGAACTGTGAGACGTAAAGTCAGAATTGTGAGACGTAAAGTCAGAATTGTAAGACGTAAAGTCAGAATTGTGCGATATAAAGTCAGAACTGAGACGTAAAGTCAGAACTGTGCGATATAATCAGAACTTTTTTTTTTCTATTCCATGTCAGAGCAAGCTTCCATGTAAACCAGCTCTCTCTCAGACTAAAACAAAAAAGTTATGTTTTTCATTTAGGGTAAATAATCTTGCCAGGTTGTTGTTGTAAATAAGAATCTGAGTTGCTTGCCTGGCTAAATAAAGGTAAATAAATAATAAATCATGTATAAATCATGTATTTACTGGGTGACTGTAATTTAATACTCAGAAAAATCAGATAATACATGCTAAAACTGCACTCTTCCTCAGGACTGAGGTGGGTTTTCATTCACTAAGCGTCTCTAAGGCACATTTGGCAGAGGTCAGATCTTCAGCAGTTGTCCTCAAGCCAAGTTTTGCTGAGGTGTGAACAAACAGCAGGCCTTTCTAAAAGCACTGCATAAATGAGTGCATTGATTTAACACAGAAAAACTCTTCTGAGGCCCATTATTGTTTGTGTATTCATGCGGCTGAACGGATTCAAATGCATTATATGCATAAGTTGCAGCAGGATTTGAGGGAAAACACACATGCTTGACTAGCAAACAGAAGACTGGAATGTGCCTGTCCGTGTGGGACGGTCTCTGATGACCAGCAACAGGCCTTCATTCTAAACTAGGAAACTTTTAACCCTTCCTTAACCTCCCCCGACTGCAGCGCTTCACACTTTACTGGCCAAATGCAGCCAATGTAGCTGAAAGACAGAAAGCCTTAATCAAATTAAATCTGACTTTATTATGAACTCTTTCCAGTGAAGACTAGTTTTTAACTTTGTTGGATCTTTCTAACGTACCAAAGTGTGTTAACTCGGTTAGTTTCAGGGGTTTCATGTAAAAACTCCCAACAAATTCCCCTTTACCCCTTTAGTTTGGTTAAAATGTGAAAACAGGGTTAATGTGTCCATAGACTTTTTATTATTATTTGGGATTAAAATATAAAGGAAAGTGTATATTTACATCTTTTGCATTGTAAAAAGTGTTAACCTGCAACTACGTTTAACCCATAACGTATAGTTTTGTTGGTAAAATGTATGTAGGTTGATTCTGAGATTCATTTTTTAAGTTACCATTTTGTCTTTTAGTGTAACTAGCACCATTTAGTAAAGTTTTCCACCATCATATAAGTAAAAATGTGAAACGCTGATGCTGTTAAAGTGAACTTTTGGTGCTTTTAGTTTGGTTTAGATTGAAAGAGTGTTCAAGTGTGTTATTAAATCAATATTTTAGATTAAAATGTAAGGAAAAGTCTATGTTTTAGGTCTTGCCCTATTGTTAACTATTTCTATTGTATTTAACCCATAAAACTTCGTTTTGTTGGTATAAGTGTATTTAGTTCTTAATTTAGATGTTTCCATTCTGTTTTTCACCATTTTAATTAGTTTGGAAAAAACGTTTTTAAAAGTACAAATGTGAGTTCATAAACTTTACATGAATAACAACAATACAAGAACAGCTAAAGTTGTTTACAATGAAGTATATGTCCGCTTTCCAAAAGTATCTCATGCCAACATCCCACATTAAATGACTGGATCAGAGGCATTAAACTGCATAAGGCTCACAGTGTGTTTATTTAGTGAAGTCATCAGTCACTGTGGCTCTTCATGCACGTACTCAATGAAAACGCATCTGTAGAGTCAGTATTTCACAATTCTGTTTCGATTCGAGATGCAAGTAACTTAATCGTCCAATCAAACCACAAACAAATGCGCAGACGTGAGATTCGCCACTGCATGTCCTGAGTCGAAGACAAAAGGTGATGTGAGAAATGCACCTCCTCCACCACCGCAGACAATAGCGGAGACTCATTGACCAGCGCTGCTGCTTGTTACCAGGCGAACTTGGGACGCGAAAGACGTGACATAAACGCCGATTGGCTGGAAACTCGAAGGAGGCGCGGCCAGCGCCAGCGGCTATATAAGCATGCGCTGAATGGGTTGCGTCAGTGTTTTGCAGAACTCACTGCGGATACTAACTAACGGCTGCTGCACTTATTCCGCTTCTCACACGGCTTTGTTGGTTTCTGGTCTTTGTTACGGACTATTTCATCTGCGGGAAAATCACATCTGAAGATCTACCGTGCAGAATATCGGTAAGTGTCTTATTTTATGATTTTTTTTATGGCTGTTTTTATTTTCTTCATTGTTGTTCATTCAAACCTTGAAGTACAATGCAAGACAAAAGTATGCTGCATTTTTTATCAAATATTCTTGACATCAGCACTGCAAAATCAGTCCGATAACTGGATGCATGTATCTTTTTTTTTAGTCAAAATGACAGAATGCTTTGTTTTTTGTTTGTTTGTTTGTTTACTCTGCAGAAATGATTTTCTTGTTTTGCAGAACAAATATCTAAACACCTTTACATCACGATGCATTAACATGAAGCAAAATTACTTTAGATATTGCTTTCAGGAAGAAAAAAAAAATCAACATTTAGTGAGGTTATGCTTAAAACTATGCAAATCTGTCTATGGGGTCAGAAAAACAAACTTAATTCAATGGGAAAGCAATTTTTCTGACCCCGATCGCAGATTTTTGTCTTTGTTTTAAGCATGCAGACACATTTTTCAATACAAAAGCATAATACATTTTTCAGAATGCATTCAAGACTTTATATCTTAAGTCGTTTTGCTAGTAAATGCATCTTGATTTAAACGTCTTACAAAAATGTTGCAGTGCATCAGCTGCTTTTGTGTCTCGTGCATGAATAATAAAAATCGATTTTCTCTTTTACAGTCACTTTAAAACAGAACAATGCAGGAGCAGCTGATTTCCAGCCTTTCATCTGAAGACTCAAGTCCCCCATCCACACCGACATCTGATGCTCCATCCAAACGCTTGTCCTGGAGCAACCTGGTGCAAAAACTGCACAGCAGCCAAAGCCTGGACTCTGATGCAGACCATCACAGCAGCACAGACGATGCATCAGATGCAGGTAAGCAAGCATGAGTTACCATGCATAAGTTAATCATGCACCTTAATCATGCAAGGTCTTGAGTCTAATGCATGCTTGCATTTGTCTCCTGCAGGTTCCATATCCCTAGCCGATCTGTCCGAATCCGACTTGTTTTTCGACCCGACCGAAGAGGCGTTGTGCAAAGAAGTGGTGCAGCTCATCGCACTTAACCTGACTGATGCCAAAGACGGCGTCTTGCACTGCTCCAAACTCCTCATTCCCGAGACGCTCCTGGAGCACATCGGCCAGGAGCTGGTGCACCTGTCGGTCAGCGAGCCCTGTGGCCTTCGTGGTGCCCTCGTTGACCTTTGCGTGGAGCAGGATGGAAGCTGCGAAGCCGTGGGACAGATCGCAGTCGACCCATACCTAGTGCCCACCTTCCAGCTCACACTTGTGCTGAGGCTCGACTCCAGGGGCTTTTGGCCGAAACTCCAGGGGCTTTTCGCCGGCAGCTCGCCTTCGTCTCCGGTTGTTAGACGTGCACTTAAACTGAGCACTGGATTTAGAGTTATTAAAAGAAAACTGTACAGCTCTGAAGAGCTTTTGATTGAAGAATGCTGAGCCCGACTGACTGAATGTCCATGGCATGGATTTTACCAGGTTTTAAAATGAAGCTGGTCTCACAAGAGGCCTGAAGTGTTGTATGACTGTTTAAAGCAGAAAGTTACCAACTCGCAGGGCATTTGTAATGCAGATGTAGGGTATATGAAAAAAGACTTTAATACAATAAGGTGTTTATTATGTTGCACTTTTGCTGACGTTCTAGTGAAGCAGGAGTTTTTGGGCTGCTGTTGAAATGTTTACCTCAGGTTCATGGAAACCAGATGTGGCAGCTATTTTCCATGTAGAAAACTTGACGTTGCTGTTATTCAAGTGCCGGTTTGTTCAAAGATGTGTAACAATGTGTCTGGATGCAGTTATTCTCTTAGATCAAATGGAAGAGGTGCTTTTTAAATTTTATAATTTTTTTTTTTTTTAACAATCATATGCATAGCCATGCATCTTATTTATTTGATATTCAAATGAAATGTTCTGAGTTTTTTTTTTTTGTACTTGAACGAAATGCAGAAAATAAATTATCTTTTTGAAGAAACGAGTGTTTGCTTTTGGGGGGTGTACATATTTTATGCATTTAACAGATGCTTTTATCTAAAATGACTTTCGTTGCATTAACGGTAATGTATGCATTTTATCAATTCATGCATTCTCTGGGAATCGGGAAGAGGAGAAATAGCCTACCACAGTATTAATATTTTCAGAGATGCCACAGTTCGTCTTGTCAATACAAGTCTTTATACTGTAGATATGCTTCACTGATTAAACTTCATGTGATCAGATTTTCTGACAAAGTACTATAGTTTTGATCAATATATTTGTGCTATGCAAATACAATGTGTGCCGTTTTATTGTATATTGCATTATAAAAAGTATTTTTAATGCATTATGCTTCGTAATGCACTTTATGATGCATAGTATGATCTCATGAATAACTAACCAGTGTTTTTATATCTATTCATTGTTACACCGACAAACAACCGACTTGAGATGTGACAAGGAATCTGCAAATATTATAATGCATTTTAATTACATCAGTGTCTCAATGGATGCTCTGCAGTGAATGGGTGCCGTCAGAATGAGAGTCCAAACATCTGATAAAAACATCACAATAATCCACAAGTAATCCACAGCACTCCAGTCCATCAGTTTGTTATAGTTCATTTTTTGGGTGAACTATTGCTTTAAGTGAAGCACATGTCTTTCTCTCAGCTGTTTTTGTCAACATTCCACACACTGGTTTTCCTTTTTTTCAGACGGGTGACTATGAACGTGCTGAAACACATGATTCAGCTGACTGTGGCATTAGCTGACATCCTGCGTCTAAAACACAGTTACGTGCAACACTCAGGCAAACGCACACACCCACTCAGCGGACAGTGGCACGTACAACCTTTATTTGTATTCAGAGTGAAATAATTGCAGCGTAGTCTCTATCAGCGATGAAACTAAGTCATGTAGAAAATAAAACTTCATATGAAATAAATATTCCTATTCAATCCTTCAATAAATATCACCTGTGTACAGCAGCCGTAGTTACTCTTAACACGCAGGACACGCAATAATTTAATCAGTAAGATCCCTGCATAGATAAATCTCAAACATACAAATATAAATCATTAAAAAGACATGATCTCGTTCTAAACAAACTCAAATAAATATATGCAGATATTGTCATCGGACCTCCAGTCTGTTTCATAATGCAACACCAGATTGTTGATTCCTGCCAGAGCTGAAAATAAGGCTGAAATTAGAGAAACAACACCATGAACTTTGATTCAGGCCAGAACATTCAGACTGCGAGGAAACGTCCTTCATCCACAGGAGTCCAAAACACCAGCTCCAGTTTCACACATACACACAATCCTTAGCATGCATGTACACGCGCGCGCGCGCGCGCACATACACACACACACACACACACACACACACACACACACACACTTGCTCACGTACGTGGTCCTCAGCATGCATGCATGTACACCTCAGTAAGTCTTTCTAGTCAAGTTCAGTAGTTGTTGCAATGCTCAGCCCTGTTTTTCAAAGAAATGTATGGCGTTCTTCCATATTCCAGACTGGAGAGATTGTTTTTGGAACCTGTGCAGAAAATAAATATTTGATTTATTAATCATATTTATTTGAAGAAATATGAATAATGCATTGTTTTAATTAATTATTTGTGATGAAAATGCAACATTCCACAATGCACAAGATACGATACTTTTGCTTCAAGCTGAAGTGTGTAATTTCAGCAGCACAAACACTGACCCATATTTCCAGCAGTGGTTTGGGAAGGACTTTCCCCATTCATTCCCTCCTTAGGGAATTCACAAAGCACTGAACCAAACAAACCAGTACTTATAAATATATATGCATATGAATAATTAGCAATATGCATATATATATATATACACACACATAAATAATATGTAATAATAAATGATCCATCTATCAATCATCTAATTGAGTTTGTTTTTAAGTAATATGTTTCCAGGTAACTCTGTTTTTTAGTTTACTGCTAAATGTTTATTGTTTATGGGAGTCAAAAATCAATCCATTTCTGGATGGAGAACATAAACAGGATTTAAACTTATTGTTCCTATTTTTCTGTTCTATTCCAAAGAAAATGTAAACAATTTTTACTCGCCCAGTTTGTTGTTGTTGTTGTGTCGGGCCGCTCAAACAGACATTACACTTTTTTTTAAATGATATAAAAGCGCTTTTTACTCTTCAGGAAGTCAAACTACCCAAACTGACTCTGAACACTAAACTGAGGCACCACAAACTATCTTGAGGTCATGGACGTTGATTAAACGTTCATTAGTGTCTCTGTAGCTCAAACAGTGGAGGAAGACGTATGGGTTTGATTCCCAGGGAATGCATGGACTGAAAGTCGCTTCGGATAAAAGCATCTTCCAAAAGCATGAATGTAAATGAAGCGTGACTTGGAGGTCAGATGAAGGTGTGGACAGAGACGGCGCTCACCAGGTAGTGCAGTGAAGCTTCATCTATCCGTGTAAAGACGCCTGAACCTCAGACAGCCGAGAGCAGCTCGGGGTTCCCATCCGCTGAGCCCGCTGGTACAGATCACTGTCCCCGAAATACCGCGCACGGTACAGCAGACCCTCCTCTGAAACACACACACACACGCGCACACACACACACACACACACACACACACACACACACACATCCGCACACACACACACAAACACAGAGATATGGGTCTAAATGACATGAAGTGAGCAAATCATGACAGAATTTAAAAGGATACATAAAAAGTCAACTCAGATGATGAAACGCTGTTTGTTCAGTCTGGGAATAAACACGAGTGATTCATCCAGTGAAACAGCTGTGAACTTCCCTCGAATACCTCAAGAACCCGAGCTCATTCGCTGAACGTGAGGAGATGAATGACGTTACAGGATGTGAGAATGTGCAGCTGGTTCTGACTGGCTCTCAGCAAACGAATCAGCTTGTTCACAAACAGCCAAGAGTTCAGACATGTGAGTCATGAAGACTCACCTGATTCTGCTTTAAACTGGAATCATCCACCTCAACACGCTCAGTGATGATTACTCTATTACAACGAGTTCTTAAAGGGACAGTCCACCCAAAAATGACAGTTCTGTCATCAGTGACTCGCCCTCATGTCGTTCCAAACAAGTATGGTTCATTTTCTAAAATTATTTAGTTTAAAAAATGTTGGGGTCTGTAAGATTTTTCTTTTTTTTGAAAGAAATCACTAATTTTATCATCAAGGACACATTATATTGATTAAAAGTGACGGTAAAGACATTTATAACGTTACAAAAGATTTCTATTTCAAATAAATGCTGTTCTTCTGAACTTTCTATTCATCTGTGAATCCTGAAAGATAAAATGTATCACAGTTTCCACAAAAATATTGTGCAGCACAACTGTTTTCAACATTGATAATAATCAGAAATGTTTCTTGAGCAGCAAATCAGCATATTAGAATGATTTCTGAAGCT